AATATAAATTCCTTAAATGATTGGGGTGGCTGAACATTAACCTATGGGGGCCAGGGCCACCATACCATTGGCCACCCTCCTTCACCTAGTGGTGGATAAAATTGTCCCCTCCACTAGTCAAGATTCTTCGCTCTGTGTTGCCTTGGATAATAAAATAAAAACCTAGCTCTGTTCTTCTCCACAGTGTAACTCCTACCACTTAGATATCTGGCACTAAAAACATTTAGGTTTAAAGTACTTCATTCTCTGTTAAATTCCAGTCCAGAAAAACACTCAACTCAAAAACTAGTCAAGTCAAGTCAGATTTATTTATAGAGCACATTTAAAACAGAAACTGTTACCAAAGTGCTTACAAACATTCGATCTTCAAAACAATTCAATTCTGTTCAGTTTTTTTATATATTACCAAATCACAACAGAAGTTGTCTAAGGGCACTGTACAAAAATATTCACATACATAGAAAAGCCAAATAGTAAAGTTCTCTATCTAAGGAAGCCAGCAGTTTTGTTAAATCTTCACTTCGTCGCAGTCTTTGATCCTGAGCAAGCACAAAGGCAAAAGTTGAAAGCAGGGCTTAATTTGTAAAACGACTGATGCCGGAACACAAATAGTAGGTGGTCTGGTGGGGGGTGGGGGGTATCTCTGGGTCCTCTCCCAGAAAATTTGGGATAAAAGAGTTGTAATTTTCTGCATTTTGGTGTATTTTAACGGGTTGCTAAACATCTATGTTTACCTACATTTGATTAAATTGATTAAATGCAGGTCTCTCTTGTAAATGAGTCCTTGAGGCTCAATGAGACTAACCTGTATAAATAAAGGTTGAATTGAAAGTAATATTTCAGAATCAGAATAAACTTTATTGGAATTGCACCGGTGTACAACGCAAATATGTACGTACAGTCGTCCGAAAGATGGGCGGAGTGCACGAATCTGCAACTGTAGAAAGCGCAGCCATTTTATCCTTATCAGATAATAATCTTAGACAGGAAAAGGGGTAGAAACATGAGGGTAGATAGTGGTATTACAAAAAAAGATCTTTCACATCTTGTCTATCAGGACACGATTTGAGACATCAAAAAACTCTACCAGCAAGCACAATAGATGAAGCTTTTGTCCTTGGGTACTCATGTCCCAGGAGAAATTGATAGTCGGCCTGTCTCCAAGGCCGTCGGGAGTCAGATTTAGATAAGCTTGATTCTTGTTTTTTCTTCAGGCAGACATATTAATTTTTTCTTCAGCCTTGAGTCCATCTGGGCGCTCTGGTTCCGAAAATGCCTAAATGTGGGATTCCATTCCACTGATCCATGCTATGAGTCTCCTTCAAGCTTGAACCCACCATGCTGACGAGTCCCAGAAGCCGCAGGTGGCCTGCGATTCTCAATCGCCTCCATCTTACGGTTAAGCTCGTAAACCAGATGATTTAAAGTTCCCACAGCGAGGACCAGTCCTTCACACTGACGCAGAAGCTTTTCCATGGCCGAAACTGCTCCCGCCGTCTTCGTCAAAAGTCGATAAAACAGAGCCTCGCCGATGCCAAAAAGCAGAGTCCCTGCTATCATAATTCCAAATATATAAACGTCTTCAACATCCTCCTGAGACAGGACTGAGAGACACATCATCTGCCACACTCCCCACAAATCCATGACATACCCCACAGCGTGAGTCTCAGCTGGACAAGCCGGTTCTCCAGGACGTTGTTGCTTTGATGAAAAGCAACAACAACAAGCATGTGTGAATAGAGCAGGTCTGATTCTGTCAAGCGTCCTAACCACCCACACACACTTCACTGTTCTGACCCAAACTCTTTTCCGCTGAATTCAGTCCTGAGCATTGTTGCTCCTACTCCAGTCTCGATTGCCACTGCCTTCAGGTGCTTCAATTCTTGGTTGTCCAACTAAAGACAATCATCCATCCATTCATCCATCCATCCATTTTATGAAAGTAAATTGGACTGTGTTTTCAATATTTTGATCGCTGTTAGAAAAAATAGTGCCCTTGTTTTGAAACTTGATGCAATGTGAATACTACACATCAAACATTTCTCTTGTATTTTTTTTTTACTGTAAGCTTTTTCATTTATTTTGTCTGATATGTATGCAGGAGTTCTGACACATCAGCAGTTGTGCGTGCTCTGTAATGTCCTAAAGAGGGGGGACTCTGGTGTAGATAACTCAGTGGTGCAGGCAGGCAATCCAGGACTCAAGATATATTTTAAATAAAGGATTTATTTACAATAAATAATGGGAAAAGCTGACAGAGCAGCAAAAACTCACATAGACAATCCAGGGGTGCACAGGGAGTAGATAGGACATCACCAGAGGACAGCTAACAATGCCAGCACAAAGGACTAACACAGAGACGCAGACTATATACAGTGATTAATGAGACAACACACCTGTGAGGACACACAGCTGAAACACATTAGGGGAAATGATAAACTAGGAAACCAGGGAGGGCAGGAACAGAGACACAACAACAGATGGAAGTGACGAACCGAGGTGAGGCGGTGAACTGAGATGAGACGACAAACCGAGATGAACCAGGGCGAGGTGAAGAGACCCTAGGTGCTGCAGGCAACACAGAGGCCTCCGTGAGTGTCGGCAGGGGCTGGTTCAGACTCTTTGTTGGCAGGGGCTGGCTTGGACTCTTTGTTGGCAGGGGCTGGCTCAGACTCTGTCGGCAGGGGCTGGCTCAGACTCTTCCGTCAGTAGGGGCGATGAGGCTGCCTCATGCACAGCGAGGAAGAAGACCCTGGATGAGTCAAGGGACCAAGGTGAGGTGATGCTGCCTTGGGACCCACTGGAAGCTTGGGACCCACTGAAGGCTTGGGACCCACTGGAGGCTTGGGACCCCTGGGCTGAGGCATGGAACCTTCTGCTGGCTTAGGACCCCTGGAGGAGACGTGGACCCTGGACGAGACATCGAGGCCTCTGTGGATGTTGAGTTGTCGGTGGACCTGGGACCCTCTGAGGACGTTGAGGCGTTAGTGGACCTGGGACCCTCAGAGGATGTCAAGGCATCGGCAGACCTGGGACCCTCTGAGGATGTCAAGGCATCGGCAGACCTGGGACCCTCTGAGGATGTCGAGGTGTCCGCAGACCTGGGACCCTCTGAGGACGTTGAGGCGTCGGTGAACCTGGAACCCTCTGTAGACATCAAGGCGTCTGGAGACTCTGGAGACACTTCTGCAGGCGCGGGGCTCTCTGTAGGCAAGTGGGGGCTTGGGTACTCCCCCACCTTTGAAATTATCCCCAGCCCTTCAGACTGTATGTGTGAAGACTCAGATGAAGGGCTAGAACTGGTGGAGGTCCAAGCATCTGACTGTCGGTGGAGGAACTCTAGCCTGCTCCTTTCCCCCAGTAGCTTGTCCAAAAACTCCATCATGCCCGGAGAGACACACAGTCCAGGGAGACAAAAATATTCACTAATCATGTCATCTGTGACCACAAACCCTTCCTATAGATCATTGGAGGTGGCCACCGTGTCCACATATCTTTAGATTGTCTTATCCAACTGCTGATAGTCCTCGTCAGATAGATTAGCCATGAATTGGCTGCCTGCTGGGTTTTTGTTTGGTGCTGGCATTCTATCGTAAAGGGGGGGTGGGGGGGGTGGGGGGCTCTGTTGTTGATAACCCAATGGTGCAGGCAGGCAATCTAGGACTCAAGAGATATATTAGATAAATTATTTATTTACAATAAATAACAGAAAAAGAGTCCAGGGCAGCAAAAACTCACAGACAATCCAGGGGTGCACAGGGAGTAGACAGGACATCACCAGAGGACAGCTAACAATGCCAGCACAAAGGATTAACACAGAGATGCAGACTATATACAGTGACTAATGAGACAACACACCTGTGAGGACACGCAGCTGAAACACATTAGGGGAAATGATAAACTAGGAAACTAGGGAGTGCAAGAACAGAGACACAACACCAGATGGAGGCATACACTAGGAGAACACAAACACTATAAAAGACAGAAACTAAGGATTAGAAGAACATAGGACATAAACACAACACAAGATGGGGCTAGGCACGAGAAAAACAGACCACAATCCCTACAGTAGAGCTGTCTGGAGACGTTCCTGTGCATAACGTGCACTGTACGCAGAGCGCGCCGTTGAAGGTGTTAGATAAAGACACTTCATCCCAAGTTTCTGGACACACAGATAATAAACAATTGCAATAGTCCAGATAATAAACAATTGCAATAGTCCAACCTAGATGTGATAAATGCATGGATCTGTTTTTCTGCATCATTTTGATGAATTAAAATTTATCCTATGCTGTTTAATAATTTAATAATTTAACCTAATGGAAGCATATATATAAAGTAGAGTATTGGTCCAAGCACTGAACCCTGAGGAATTCCATGACTAACTTTGGTTTATGAATAAGATTCATATAAATGAATTAAATATTAATTTACAAAGTGGAATCTATCAAATAAGTATGATTTAAACCATTTTAGAGCTGTGCCTTTAATCCCAATATCATATTTTCTTCAAGTCTCTCAGAGACAAGGACATTGGCGTACTGCTTGTTTGATAGGCATGGTCTGAATTAGCACATGAAGCTTTTACATTTATTTCATTTTACAGTATTTATTACAGTATAACTTTGTACTTATTTATGTTATTAACTTTTATTATTTATTGGCAGGTATTTTAAGTTGTTGAAGTTATTGGATATTTTACCCATTAAATTTTTTTTTTCAATTTGAGCATACATAGTTTCAAAAACTTTTTTCAATTATAAATAATTATGCAATGATGCTTCCATGTGGCAACTCCAAAACTTTTTAAAGAAAGTTTAAAAGAAGAAGTTTAAAAGAATTTCCTGTTTGTTTAGGTTCAGTTTATTTGGTTTATTTTAAGACATACAAACCCTCCAGTTACTTTTTACCGATTGACATCATGATGTGCAGCATAGATTGTTACCAAGCTGCTTTAGTGACTATCTTTTTTATCTTTATGCTTGTCTTTTGGTTCTCAGACTTTGAAGAAGCTTCCAGAAACACATTTCAGCAGGAACTGGAGGATCTAGGATTGGGGGCAGTTCCTTTCACATTCTCCTACCACGAAGCAGCCAGTCTAATGGACACATCGGCCTTCCACTCACCTGTAAGCGTCTCTTACAGTATTTAACAATGAAACTGTCCTAAAACCATACAAAACAAAGAACACAGAAACAAATGAAAGGATAAGAATGACTAGAAAACACAAAATAACTTTAATTTAAACAAATGCACAAAGAACAAAACATTGGTTACGTATTGTAACCCCAGATTCTGAGTATGGGCGCAGAGCTGCCACTGATGGGTTCCACCCCGCATGCAGCGTGTCAAAACTGAAAAAACTAATCCACACCCACCCACTGTGTGGGCGTCACCTCTGGACCGTATAAACTGTGTCGGGTCCTTAGATTTACTACTTTACCTACTTTTCTTCAGCCACTCAAGAGTCAGCGAGGCCCAGATCTTAAAGGGCTGCACCCATACTCATAGAATCTGGGGTTACAGTACGTAACCAACGTTCTATTTTGTATGAGCTTTTTGTATGCCACTGATGGGATAAAGGGCAAAGCAGGATGTAGTCTATGCCTCTCAGGGTCCATCCAAAACCATGAGCCCACAGACAAAAAACTGCCTAATACAAACATTTCTGACTCTACATTCAAGTGTAATAACGCATTGCTGATCAATGCGCTCGGTACGCACTGGTAGCAGGCGTGTACCTTCTGTGCTGGACTGAGGCTGAGTGTTCAGCTTACTCACACAGTTGGCAACGAAAGGGTGAAGGGAGGGAGCTTCCGCATAGAGGAAGTTCCCCTGCTTGAATGTCAGACAGAGAAAAAAAAAACACCTAAGAGGAGCGAGCAGGGTTGAAAAAAATGAGTGAAGATGGCTGTGACATCACTCAGACAGGACTCTGAAAACCGAGTGTGTCAAAGACAGGCAAGTTCACAAGTTGTGTTTATTTGTGTAGCGCACTAGAAGTGGACCAATAGGGAACAGGCACTAAGGTCGTTTTCACACCAGATAGTCTGGTAGACTCGGTTCGGGACCAATATTCATGACATTTTGTTTACATTTGAGCTGGTGCGTTTGCATTCACACTACACAGTGCAGTCAAGTCAACCTATTGAACCAACCTATTCCCCCGCTCGCCTGTGGGGGCACTGCACCAAGAACTACTGAAAGAAACTACACAAAAACCTCTGAAAACATGTCTTCTTCTTCTGTAAATAAAAACAAAAACGAAGTGGCATCAAGTTTTAGCAGTTTTAGGAGTTATATTTTGTCATTTTTCAAAAATGGACTTAGCATGAGCAGAAGATGAGACAGAAGACCATGGAGAATATTGTTTTTGAATATTGAGCGGGGCCCAGTCTGTTTGCATTCACACTGTACTCAAACCGCGCTGGAGTTCTCTTCTACCGGACCGAGACCTATGTTTTAGCCCGGGCTAGAGTTCGCCTTTTTGTTCCGTGACAGAGTTTGATGGCGCGTTCACACCTCCCTAAACAAACCGGACTTTCTAGAAAAACGAGCTACAGTTCGATTAAAGCAGACTAAACAGGGCTGCTGTGAATGCACCCTAAATGTCTACTAGGTTCCGCCAAGAGTAATGATGTCACACTAATTGAATACTGAACTGATAATTTTATTGCCTCCCACAAGCATTTAGAGTTTACAAATGTTGAAAAATAAAATACAAGCAAAATTAAATAGAGCTCTTTCTTTTTTTTTATGAAAAAATAAAATTAAAATAAGTTCAGTTCTTTAGTAACGTTGCTACCCGGGTAGTGTTGTGTATGGAATCTTATCTGTAACCCAAGATGGATTTTCCGGATTGTGAAGGTTCTTCTGTGCAATGATGTCCCAGATGGCCACACTGTTTACACCTGTCCACAGTTCGCATGGGCTCAGTTCGCCATCGCAATCAAAGAATCCAGAGTCACTATAAAACCAATCGAAATTTCCATAAGCTATTACCCAACAAGTGGTCACCTTGGTCTCTCACTGGGATTTCCACAGATAATTCTCAATGAGTGGTCACTTCTGTCACTCATAGACAGGTTGTAAGGTCCACAGTTTGGTCGGTCAGCGCATGTGTAAAGAGCATGCCTCAGAATATAGGGAAAATCACGTTGGTTAAATTCATCTCAGTAAAAACTGAGTGCCCTCTGCTGGACCTTCCCAGTATTACAACCTAATTTACAGATATGGGTTTAGTAGCCAAATGTTTCATGTGGGTTACATTTGTCATATACAAGGTTAACACAGGGTTAACAGTACAATGAAACGCTTAGGATGAGAAGAACCAAGTTGACTCGCTAAAAAAAATCAAAGAAGAAACCAACAAGAAAAAACAAAAAAGCATGCAATAAAGGTACACAAAATAAAGTACCAAAAAGTGAAAAAGTAATTAATTAAAATATCCTGATGCATGCTCAATAATCCAGGTAGAAAAATCCAAAAAAGTTCAATCTGGTCCTCTGGACATTCAAAATAAACAAAAAAAACAAACAAAAAAAATAAAATATATAGAAACGTTTCGTCTCTCATCCATCACTTACAATGTTTCCAAATATCTGGCGTCTGTACTCATCCCTTTAGTTGGCAGCTCAGAACACCACATACAGAACACCATGGACTTTGTGGATAAGGTGAGGGATGTCATCATGGAGACTGATGAAACAATGGTCTCTTTTGATGTCACATCACTCTTTACGTGCATTCCTGTTGATGATGCAGTAGAGGTGGTCAGTTTAAGATTAAAATCAGACACCACTCTGAGCAGCAGGACCACGCTTTCCACAGAACAACTGTGTCAACTCTTGAAACTGTGCCTGCAGTCAACCTACTTCACATATGGGGAGCAATATTATAGGCAGAAACATGGGTGTGCTATGGGGTCTCCAGTTTCTCCTATTGTTGCCAACCTGTACATGGAGGAGGTAGAAAAGAGAGCCTTGACGTCCTTTTCAGGGACACCACCAAGTCATTGGTTCAGGTATGTTGACGACACCTGGGTTAAAATTAAATCTCAGGAAGTCCAACATTTTACTGACCACATCAACTCTGTGGATAAATACAAGTTCACATGAGAAGATGTAAAAAATGGCAGGTTGGCTTTCTTGGACTGTGAGGTCTCAGTCTCTGATAGAGGACATCTGCAAACCGAGGTGTACCGCAAACCCACCCACACAGACCAGTATTTGCAGTTTGACTCCCATCACCCTATGGAGCACAAGTTAGGAGTCATCAGGACTCAGTATCACAGAGCAGACAGCATCCCCACTAACTCGGGAGCCAGGCAGAAGGAGAAATCCTACACAAAACAGGCTCTAGAGCAATGTGGATATCCTAACTGGGCCTTCCTGAAAGCAGAGAAGAAACCCAAACAGGACTCCAGTCAGCCATCAGGTGAAAAGGAGGAACCCAGACC